ACACACCTCGGCCGCTCCCGCGGCTGCATCTCGGCTACATCTCCGCCGCTCCTCGCTGCATCTCGGCTACATCTCCGCCGCTCCTCGCTGCATCTCGGCTACATCTCCGCCGCTCCTCGCTGCATCTCGGCTACATCTCCGCCGCTCCTCGCTGCATCTCGGCTACACCTCCGCCGCTCCTCGCCGCATCTCGGCTACATCTCCGCCGCTCCTCGTCCCACAGCGTATCGGCGTGCAGCGGCTGCGGCGCGGCGCCGGGCGCAGAGACGAGCGCCGCGAGCTCCCACAGCTCCGCCTCTCGCCCGGCGGCGTCCAGCAGCGAAGACGCCACGGCCGGCGCCGACAGCAGCTCGCGGAGCCCGGCGGCGACCGGCGCCGTCACCCTCAGCCGCAAGTCCCAGCGTGTGATGGCGGCCGCGGCACTGGCCGATGCCGTGAGCACCGACGAGAGCGGCCCAGCCCCGGCCTCGCATGCACGCGCCGCCTCGAGCTGCGTCAGCACCTCTGCACGCAGCGCCGCGGCGGTCGCCGCGCCAAGCGCAGGGCCGACGCACACCACGCCGTCGTCGCGGAGCGCGGCGGCGGCGGCAGCAGGAGCGGTCCTCCGCACGAGCGGAGCGGCACTGCCCAGTGTCGACTCCTCCTCCCACGCGCGGGCAGCCAAGCTCTCCTCGTCGTCCTCCTCCTCGACGTCCTCGATCACCCACGACGCCTCGTCGAGCGTTGACCAGCCGTCGCAGCTGTAGGGCCGACGGAGAGGCGGCGCCGCAGAGGTCAGCCGCGGTGCGCGAAGCGCGTACGCGCAGCCGCTGCACAGGAGTGAGAGCATTGGACAGGTGAGACCTCGGGAGCGGCCGGCGCATACACACATGAGCCTAGGCCGAGTTGGGCAAAAAAATTCCAAATCGCATGAACGGGACTGGCGCGCACTGGCACGAACGCACAGCAGCCACCACCTGTTGCGGATTTCTTTCTTCTTTTCGGCTCATCGCTCTACCTGCCGATATCCCACTCGCACGAGTAGCCCCGGCCGGTGTGATGCTGCTGAGCGCTTCCGGACTCGCACGGGGCGCCCGCCGGAGCATCGTCATCCCGGCGCTTCGGGCCTCCAAGCTCAGCGAGGTCCCGTCGTGCGTCGCGGCGGCGCGGGTGAAGCTCGAAGAGAGGCGGGCGCTGCTTGGGTCAGCTCACCCGTCGACGCTTACGGCAATCCAGACGCTCGCCTGCCTCCTCGAGCGGGAAGGGTGCGAGACCCTCCTCTCCGAAGCTAGGGCGCTCGAGACAGAGGCGAAGGAGAGCTTCCGGGCGCTGTCGCGCTCGTGAAGATTTGTCTCATGGCTGCCCGCGGGCATTCTGTACGCTTGCTGCGATGGCCCTTAGCCTCGCACCCCTTGTACCTTTGTGAACCCTTGTGTGTCCGTCTTGTTCTTGCCGCCTAAACTGCGGCGTGTGCCCAAGAGCACGGCTGCGGCACTGTTGCCCCTAGCTGTCCCTGTCGTGCGCAGCCTTGTCATTCTTGTGATCTGTGATCTGTGAGGGTCCGCCCGCAGGCGCATTTTGTATACCGAGGCGGTGCCCGGTGCCGAACCTGTCGGAATTCTTGTGAGTAGTAGCGTGTCCGTGATGTGCGAAGTGGAGTGGCAGTGGCCTAATACCGTGGGCAGTGAGCTCGGTACACCGTGTACAGACTCACTACGGGACCGAGGAGTGTTGTGCGCTGCCGCTGCCAGCAAGTACAGGTTTCGATCCGGGCCACCGCAAATTTTGATCAGCAAATTTCGAGGGGCGGCCGCAAATTTTGAGGTAGATTTTGATTGTCAAAAACACGTCCGTCTTGCCGCAGGATAGAGCATATAGGCGCCGTATCTAACGCTTTCGCGCGCGTTTTTTTTTGTCCAGAGAGGCTTGTATTTTAAGAATTCTTTTTTGTGGAGAGAGGCGGTATTTTAAGATTTTCTTTTTGGCGGCGGCGCGGCGGTGACAACCATCTGTGTTTCCGAGGCGGACCCGGTGTCCGGCGCCGAGCTTTTAGGTGTGAGAGCGGACTCCGGGGGCAGCCTAACCGCTGTACGCCCCGCCCGCCGCTGGCTCACTGCGCACTCACTACTCGCTTAGCACCCCGCGCGGCGACGAACGCCCGGCGCAACACGCCCCCACGAGCGTCCGTCCGGGGGGCGCAGGCTGGTCACCAGCCGGTGTCGCCGCCGATGACCACGTCACCCTCCGGCACCATCTCCCGGCTGACGGTGTTTGGCACGACAGCGGCCGTCATCGGGAACTCGACGGGCGCCTAGAAGCAGAATACGCCAACCTCAGGGCACGAATACGGTATTGTGCAGCGTTTTCAGAGCACGGCGTGAATACAAAGGAGAGGAATACAGTGAATACAGCAGAATACGGGTCAATACAGCTGAATACGTGGCCCTCTCGGGCGCTGGTTGGGAGCTAAGAATACGTATTTCTGCTTCTAGGGACGGGCGCGGTGTTGAGGATGCGGACGACGTTGCCCGAGCCGGGCGTCTCGATGACGCAGAAGAAGGGCCGGTCGAAGCCGTCCTCCGTGTACAGCTCGATCACCTGCTTGTTGTTGTTGGGGCCCTGCGGAGAGGGAAAGGGCGGCGGTGAGGAGAGAGGTGGGAGTGGGAGGCGGAGAGAGGCTGTGCGGTGGGGAGGGAAGCTGTGGTGAGGAGAGAGGCAGCGGTTGCGGAGAGCGGCGGCGGCGGTGGCGAGAGAGGCGGCCGTCCGAGGAGACGCAACGCGCAGGGGTTGGTGCCTGCAACAGCTCGATCCGTGCGTTGAGCGGCCGCCCGTCCGTCTTGAGCAGGACCTGCACGCTGTCGATGGTTGGGTCGAAGGGGTAGGTGCGGAGGGCGCCGCCCTGGATGGTCATCGAGGCGGTGGCGCACTCGGGCGACGGCTCGTCCACATTCTCGCATGCTACCAGCGCGGAGAGGGGAAACTCGATCTCGCCGATGTTGCGGATGCTGACAGTGTTTGGGCCGCGGGGCGTCTCGACGACGGCGCTGAAGGGGCGGAGCTGGCCATCCTCGATGTAGACGCGCATCTTGCACGGCGTGTTGTCCGGACCCTGCCACAGCTCGATGTCCGCGTCGAGTGGCCGGCCCTCAGTGCTGAGCACCACCTGCACCTGGTCGACATTCTGCGAGCGAAACGACCAGGTGCGGAGCGAGCCGCCCTGGACGAGGATCGCGTGCTCGACGTCGTCGGAGCTCTGCATTGCACTGCGCGTCGCGGCTGGGCCAGCTGCAGCGACCGGCGTCGGCAGCGCAAAGTCCTCGGGCGCCGTCTGCATCAGCACCGCCGTCGTCCGGAGCGCCGGCGCGGTGCCAAGCATGAGGCCGGAGGCGGCGCCGGCGGAGCCGGCGAGCAGCACGGCGAGTCGCGACCTGCGGAGGGCGTGCGGAGGGGGAAGGAGAGCTGGTGAGGAATGGACAGGTGGAGCGACCGTTAAAGTACGAGGCGGCGAGGTGCAGGTGGGCGCGACCGTTGCGCGCACATAGCTGCCGCTGCCCCTTGAGGTGGCTGAGGAATGGACAGGTGGGGCGGCTGAGTGAGCTCGGTGATGAATAAAAAAGAATTTTATGCCTCGAGCAGGGCAGTGGTCGCGTCGCCCATGTCAGGACCAACACCCCGAACGGCGAAGACGGAATATACTCCGTGCCGGCACGATGTCTTTCGAAATAACGTCGTGGGGGTTGTCGGTATAGGTGTATTGTTGGCAAATAAAGACACAGAGCTCACACAGAATCACAGCGGGAGGAAAGCGGCGAGTCGCAATTCCTGGGGTCCTTGTGGCGGGCCACCCTGTCCAGAGAGGCATAGTCCTGGCCGCTCCCGGTTGTGGCAGAGGTTATAGAACCAAGCGACGGAGATGGTGCGGGGGTACGGGTGTTCCAGGGGGTCACGACACGCACCGACCCTTCACGAACCGAAAGGCTGTGCCCGGGGAAGGCACAGTAATCCGGGCACGTGTTGGGCGCCCCATTCCGTTTAGGGCTAGGTCGGCTCAGGGCCCCGTCCACTTCCCTCTCGCCTGGCGCGTGATGATGAGGAGATGCAACCCAGGCCAGCCAGGACAGGGGCGGAGGGCGAGGGCGGAGGGCGGGATGT